CGAATCGCGCGTTGGAGCATAATGGACTCAGATACCATGTTAAGATTTCCTCTTTTGCAGAAGAGAATCTACATAAAACTCTAAATTCTGCGTGATTATAACATGAACTACAAATTGTTTTACTTGCTCTCTTTTCCCATTTTGTTCTTCATATTCTTGGGACGGGGGCTTCCTCCTTGTGCAAGAAGCATGGACGGTCCGAGTACATTCAAATCAATAAGGAAATAAATATTGAATCGCGTAACGAATTAAGTAGATTACCAAACGTTAATAGCAGATTTCTTGCCACGATGTCTGGCGAGTTCCAAAATTGATGGTAGCTGTACGCCTGTACAAGAGAATCATTACCAGCAGTGACTACACTGACAATCTTACAGCTGATGCAATGGCAAGCATCTCTTCCTCAACTTTTTTTCAGACTCAATCGACCATCAGACAACCTATGACCCCTTCAGAGGCAGTATCATCCTGATCTTACGATTCACAATCTGCTTCCTTCTCCTTCACTTATTTAACAAATGTGCTACCCAATTCTTCAATAGGACTATAAGCTTCCCTTTTACCACATTGATTTAGTTCCCAACGCTCTTCGCTATGTGATACTTTTTGAGCTGCTCTGGACTCATCATTGCAGTTGAGAACCGGAAGACAACACAAGAAGCCGAGATTTTGAGGTAGCATGCCATCGGACATGACCTTGCAACAACCCATAGGCTATTAAGTTCCACATTGGAGCTTGTCCGTTATACATCAGTGCCCTTCATTTGACAATTTGTGATTAACTTGAATTTCTCTTCAGCTCGACAAATAGAATCTTCTTATTCAGAAATAAGGATCTCAGTGTGAGAATCAGCAAAGTTTTCTCCGCTAATGTCTGAATTTGACGCCCACAGGGAAGCCAACTTTTTGAGCTTATAGAGTAAAGAGTTGTCTCCTGTCATCTGTGCAAGAACAATGGCCGAATCAATCAGCCTTTTGTTGCCAGGGCAAGACAACAAAAGACATTTGCATTATAATCCTTGTACCGTTTCCTTTGGCAGGCTTGTTTCTGTAAGAGAATCTGTACATCCTTGAGAGAGAAGGAAT